TTTGCACTGAATTAGATGGCAGATTAACGTACCATGCAAAAGCAGGTCCTGTCAAAGAGTTGTCAAACAAACATAACTTGACAAAATCACCTACATCACCACATTGGACAGTCAATCGTCCAACATGCTCCACTGTGGATTGGTCACCCATTCCAATAAAGGGTACAAACTCTGATACCCTAAACCCTCTTGGGAACGGATACATACTATCCACCCACTCTGGATACGACTTTCGATAGACAGGTGGCATCGTTGGTCTCATACCAAAACCAAATTGTTCAGCCAACAACTATGCCATCTGTGGATTTGTCACCTATTTCAGTAAAGGGTACAAACTCTGATACCCTAGACCCTCTTGGAAACGGGTACATCCTATCTGCCCACTATGGATATGCCTTTCGATAGACAGGTGGCATTGTTGGTCTCATACCAAAACCAAATTGTTCAGCCAACAACCGTGCCATCTGATCACTGAGTGCATTCACATCGTGCCCCCCCCCCCCCTGATGCCCTTCAAACGGTATGAATCCACCATGATCCATGCCTTGCATGTTCATAGGAGGCGGGATTTGCTGCGGGTACGCACGTGGGGTATCAGGTCAATATTGTTTGGACCCAAACCATCCCAACATTAACAGGAGCCATGTATGGTCTGGCTTCTGGAATATTTGTTGAGCAACACCTTGCACAGGTGGTGGTTGCTCAACATGAATCTGAGATGAAGTGGCATGACTCTCGCCAACATTCACCCTTTGAGGTGTTGGTATGGTGGTTGCCACCGTACGAAGGATTCAGGATGGTGATCCTCCACAAGGTGTTGTGGAGGAGGGGCAGTTGGTCAACGTTGAAATTGACCAAGCATGAGGAAACAATGCTGGACCAGAGGGGCCACCTACGACACCCAATGTCGATCCAGGTGAAGTATTACAATGGATTCACCAACTGGTGGTTGGGATGAACAAAAACTACGAGCATGTAAACCTTCGTCTTGCTTCTTTGGATGAGCGTATTGATGGTTTGATTTCACGTACTGATAGACGACTTGTTTAATTATTTGAGTTGGTAAACAAAAATACGAATGAATTGGGTGAGTTTAGGTAATTGTCGAACAGCCAGTTTTACAAACTATGGTTTGTCTTCAGATGGTCAAGACTTACCAAATCTTGAAATTGAAAATGTTAACCTACCATCCAACTGTGGTGGTCGAGGTGAGCAGCGACGGCAGATGAACCCTACACCACCGGTGGCAATTTGTTTTTGGTGGAATTTCGCGTGATCAATGCACCCCTGGCTTCAAGAACACGAAAAGGATGTTATTTGGTTCACACCTCTTCAAACACTGTTCGAACGAGGGTGCTCGATGCATACATCCAAGGATCTACTTACTCTTACCTCTACTCCTATGGAGATTTCTTCAGAGCTTCGCAACTACTGACTACAACTAACAAAGAAGTCTCGTGGAGGGTCTCTAGTGCTACTGCTAGGCTACTGTTCTAGAGAGAAAATATAAATTTTGACAAGATTGTTTGTGATTTGATTTGTCTATCCTTCTCAATAATCTTGCTGCCAGTTTTGTTGTGTCTCGCCCTCTAACCTCCTTCTCTCTCTCCCCCCGAAAATCAGCTCCACGTAGCATCCAGTAACTCCTCCGAGCGTCCTTTGAAAGTCAGCTGCTGCTTATGGTAACCACCTTCGACACGTCATCATGTCCCTGGACAATCAACCCTACGTACACCAAATAACTTGGATGGTATCCATGTTGATGGACGACACCATCCACTTTGAGTTTGGATGGTGTTCCTGATCTTGGATGGTACCATCCATCATAGGGTTTGGATGGTATCCTTGATGTTGGACACTACCATCCATAATGAGACTTGTATGGTATCCATAATGTTGGACACTACCATCCTCCAAACCTACGATTTAATAAATTGTACCATCCATGTACACATGGACCAAACTATTTAATGTGTCCAATCTATTCATACATATGATAATTAATGAAAATTATTTTGGTGTAAACAAATCATAGAACAACATTTAACGATATATTTTTTAAAAATGTCACCAGATGCATGACCATAGTTGTCCGGAGGAGTTGAGTTTGAGGATTATACGAAGATGTTAGTGAGTCAACATCAAGATAAAAGGCGCAGCTGGAAGCCAAAGCCCGCAAAATTCTTATGCAGGCTGGCTATGAATTGAGAATGGAGTAAAGTAGCAGTAAGTTGGGAGGGTAAAGAAGAATGAAACAACCGTAACCCCACACATGTATACACGTTTGTCTAACTTAAACATGGCTCCAAATTGGTTCGAGCTTGGTTTACAAATGAGTTTATCGAGGGTTGTTTGGAAGTTGCGATAGTTTTGTTGATATTGTCATTATGCATGTATTGTTTGCAATGCATCGTTTTTTTATTTTTTAGCAGAAACAATACATGGATTGTTTCTGTGATGTGACAGAAACTATCACTCATTTTGAGTGATTGTTATATCTAGGGGTGGGCAACGGGACGGGACGGGATACCCGTCCCGTTTAAACGGTTACCCAGTCCCATTTGGAGGCCAAAGTCCATCCCATATCCCAAACCCATATGGGAAACGGGTACCCATTACCCGTACGGGACGGATAACGGGTACCCATACTACCCATAAATACCCAAAGTTTAAACCACTCAAATTTTAACAAAAGTTTAAACTTAACTTGTACTTGCTTACCAATCACAAGACACAAATCATGAACAATCACAACGCATAGAAATAAATCATTCTAAGTACCAAATTATCAAATAAGAAGTTTCATTCAACACAAATCATGAACAATCACAACGATGTGCCTGCGAAAATTAGGGTCACCAAACTTCTCCATCCAGACAAAGTCATCATACATTGAGTGGTATACAGGGTAACCTGCATGCATTCAGCTATTGTCAGCACTCAGCAGGGTAGAAGGAAAAATGGAACTGATAATTTCAATGTTAAGGAATCATACACCGCTGAGGTTCCTTTAGCGATTGATGACTACTTTGAACTATGAAAATAATCTATGGTACTTCTTGGACAGGGATGAGTTTAGATTGCATGTCACTGCAGAGTGCATACTACAAGTATTATGTTCACATAGCGTTCTTTGTTTCTTTACTAAGAAAAGTTTCATCTTTGTGGCGAAGTGGACATTCCCTTTCTATGGATTAGAGTTCGCAAATGGGTAAAACGGGTACCCACATTACCCAAACGGGTATTTGCGGGTAACCCGCGGGTACCCATATTAGGAATGTACAATCCCAAGTCCCATCCGTTTATAATATTACGGGTAATATGGGTACCCGTAACCCTTAAAAAATGGGACGGGTACGGGTATACCCAAATACCCGTTTCCCGTTGCCCACCCCTAGTTATATCTCAACTTTTAGTTGTGATTGTTGAGATAGTTGAGTTGAGATTGTTTTGTCTCAGCTTTTAGCTGATGCGACACACACAATCACACATACCAAACGTTGTATTCGACAATACATGTATAATATTATACATGCATTCTCAACAATACATCTATTTAACAATCGCAACTTCCAAATGACCCCTGAGTTTGATCTACTTGAGCTCTGATTACCACTTCATTTATGATTCTAAATGGTTGAACCCCTAATATACACGTGATTAATATACTGATAATACAAAAATGATAGTAATGTTTTTCATGACTAATTGATTCCACATTTATATAATATGTTGGAATCAAATTTAGTTCATATATAGTTCATGACATTGTATTTAATCGCAATTAGTAGGTAAACAAATCTATGGTAAATATGTTCTCTTTCAAATTATAAATGAAACATAGTTGGTCACATAGTCAAAGTCATTAACCATTCTATAGTGTGAAATATATAATCTAATAACATATATATGAACTATCAACAAGACAACTCATAAATTATAGAACGATTATCTAATGCTAGTCCATTGACTTATTAGTCAGATTGTCGAACCAACTCATGAGTTTCAAAATGAACCAGCTCATAAAATGAGGTTAATGAGTCACTCAGTCAAACTGACTCACGACACAACCCTCACAAATTGAACAAGTCAAATCCAACTCGCTAGTAAATAAGTAGAAAATTTAAACTAAAATTTTCAAAATTGAGCACTAAACTACTCGTTAGCAGATAGGGATGGCAATGGGTCGGGTTGGGGCGGGTTTTGTCAAACCCGAACCCAAACCCATGGGTTTATCCGTCAAAAAAACCAGGGGTAAAACCCGCTGGGTTTGAAAAACTCAAACCCAACCCAACCCACCGGGTATCCGCGGGTTCATGGGTACCCGTGGATTTTTTGTGGTAAAAAATTTACAATAACAAATTTCTTTCAAAATAAAGTCTAACATCAATTTTCTCATAAAAATTATCCTTACAAAAAACACTAATCTAGAGCATACAAGCAAACCCGAAATTATCAATACAAATTGTTCAAATTATAGATAAACATCTATAAACAACATGATTAATTGAAAGCTCCTTCCTCCTTGTCAACTAAACTTCTTCACTCTCCACTCCATAATATCAACTTCATTGTACATAATTTTAAAGAATAAATTAGACATGTCTCCACAAACATAAAGAAGATTAGTTATTTAAGAAAGATATATTGCAAATAACCCGGAAAAATTAATTATATGGGTTGGGCGGGTACCCATAGGTCGGGTTTACCTAAACCCAAATCCAACCCGATAAATAGTGTAGCGGTTTTAAACCCAAACCCGGCCCAAAACCCGTCAACACGAGTTTTACCCGTGTTGACCGGATTGGGTCGGGTGGGTACCCGTGGTTCGGATTTTGTTGCCACCCCTATTAGCATATGTACACTTTTTCAATCCTCAATTGATCCATAGAAATTAGACCATGATTTGCTGTTTTTTTTTTTTCCAGCCATTGGGGACGAGGCTGAGCCGAGCCGAGCCTCGAAACCGTGGTATAAAGGTTGAAACTTGGCTTTCACGTACAGACAACGCCACATTTGCACTCGGTTGTTGGTAACTCGTTACCACTTTATGTGTGTTCATTAAACAAAGAGAGTCTTCACTCTTCAGTGAAAAATTGGCCAAAAAAATAAAAGCAGCAGCAGGAGAAAAGAGTAGTAGATGTCCCTGTCTGTATGTGATCCCCACCTCCAGCCTGTCTTCTCTCTCCTCCTTCTTCTTCTTCCATTAATCTCCTCTGCTTCTCTCACTTCCCCAACTCTGCACTTCTTTATCGCTCTCTCTCTCTTTCCCTTCTTCATCTCTCCATTCCGCGTGTCCTTCACTTCCCCTCCATCTTAAAGCAACCTCGCCAAATACCCCCTTCTTCTTCTTCTTCTTCTTCTTCCCCCCTCCATCCCCAACCCTCTATTCCTTCCATTCCCAAGCACACTCTGAACTCCCTTTCCCAATTCCGAGCACCATGGGAGGAATTCCCATCTATGGTGTCTCTTCCCTCCTCTTCATCCTCCTCACCCTTTCCATTACCTCCACCGCATTGCCCACTCCTTCTTCCCCCAAACACCACCACCATTCCCAATCTTCCACCGCCGCCGCCTCCCAAATCAACTCCAACTCCGTCCTCGTCGCCCTCCTCGACTCCCATTACACCGAGCTCGCCGAGCTGGTCGAGAAGGCCCTCCTCCTCCACACTCTCGAGCAAGCCGTCGGCAACCACAACCTGACCATCTTCGCCCCACGCAATGAAGCCCTGGAGCGCCGCCTCGACCCGGAGTTCAAGCGCTTCCTCCTCGAGCCTCGCAACCTCCACTCCCTCCAGACCCTTCTCATGGCCCACATTCTCCCCTCCCGGGTCGGATCCCCCAACTGGCCCAAGCCCTCCGACCCATCCCGCCGCCACCGCACCCTCTCCTCCTCCCACCACCTCCACCTCTCCACCAAACCCACCGGCCAGAAGACCGTCGACTCCGCCGAAATCGTCCGACCCGACGACGTCACCCGACCCGACGGTGTCATCCACGGCATCGAGCGCCTCCTCATCCCTCAATCCGTCCAGGAAGACTTCAACCGCCGCAGGAATCTCAGATCCATCTCCGCCGTCATCCCTGAGGGAGCTCCCGAAGTAGATCCCAGAACCCACCGATTGAAGAAACCCGCAGCGGCGGCAGTACCCGTGGGAGCCCCACCCGTTCTCCCCATTTACGACGCTCTTGCCCCGGGTCCTTCCCTAGCTCCGGCTCCCGCTCCGGGACCCGGAGGCCCACACCACCACTTCGACGGGCACAGCCAGGTGAAGGACTTCATCCACACGCTGTTGCATTACGGCGGGTACAATGAAATGGCGGATATCCTGGTCAATTTGACCTCGCTTGCAACCGAGATGGGGCGGCTGGTTTCCGAAGGCTATGTGCTGACTGTTCTGGCGCCGAACGATGAGGCGATGGCGAAACTGACGACGGACCAGCTCAGTGAGCCGGGTGCGCCGGAGCAGATCATTTATTACCATATCATCCCCGAGTACCAGACGGAAGAGAGCATGTATAATGCGGTGAGGAGGTTTGGTAAAGTGAAGTATGACACTCTGCGGTTGCCCCACAAGGTTACTGCTCAAGAGGCAGACGGGTCGGTTAAGTTCGGGGCGGGTGACGTGTCGGCGTACCTGTTCGACCCGGACATCTACACGGACGGCAGGATTTCGGTACAGGGGATTGATGGGATTCTGTTCCCGGAGAGCGAAGCGGGCGAGCCGCTGAGGAAGCCGGCCAGTCCCGTCAAAGTGGTGACCAAGCCCAGGAGAGGTAACGAATTGATCTTAATAATGCATGATCCAACAAATTACTCTGTTGCTTTTTTTTTTTTTTGGCCTATGTTTGTGGCTAGTAATTTAGGGGGATTAGTGAAAAGGATAATTAGTGAGTAAAAAAGAGAGGGTGTCGGTGGAGAGGTGAAATGGTCTTGCTCTAAATTCCCCCATGCCCCATTTGCTGCCGGCTGCCGCTGCTGTCTTTAGGGAAAAAAGGGTGTGGTAGAGCTGGAATAGATAGGCTGCTTGGGTGTGACGCAGAGAATTAGATGCCCAAATTTCCAAATTGTTTCAATGGTTAGTTCCATGATCATTGTTATTGTTAGGGTGATGTGACATTCCGAGAATGCAGAAGAAGACAATCATACAACAATTCACATTGTAACATGGTGAATAGGTGTTTGTTTAGCAGGTAATTAAGGATGAAGGATTGACAATAAGACGTTAGTCAATTCGGTATATGTGGTAGAGATTAGGAGGGTGTGAATGATATTAAGTGAGTGGTAAGAAGAGGAAACCGTAACTAATAATAAAACTGGGTGGGTGGGTGGTGAACGTGGGTTGGCGGGAGGCCATGGACCTGTTGGCTTTTGGTCTGGTTCGGTTCCCAGCCTGGCCGGAGAATGAAGAATCCATGTGAAAGAAAGAAAGAAAGAAATGAGTGGAGACTGGAGAGAGTCTTAATCAAGGTATAGGCCCAGGCGAAGCCAGGGAATTCCAAGCTGTGAGCCAACCCCTTTCTCTTTCTGTCTACCCCACCCACGCATACAACAGAAGCTGCTACTATTCTATTTCTATTTCTATTTCTATTTCTATTTCATTAGGAGGAGGTTGATGCCAAAACTAAAACTAATTCCCGGTTCAACCATTACTTTTGTCCACTTTCCATTTTATTTGTTTCTCCTTTTTCTCCCATTTATAAGTTGGTATTTGGATTTTGGAATATTACGGGTTATTAGTAGTTTCAGAAAATATATATATATTCTGATTTGGGGCTGGAATGGCATGAACATAACATGGGGGTATGGCATTGTGTATTGTTCTGGCTGGCTGGCTGTCCTTACGCGGTTTCATTGGTGCCATTATTTTGTTAATCACCATAAAATCCGACTACTACCGATTTTGTTCTTGTTTTGTTTTCTACTATTTTTTTTTAAAAGAGCTTTACTTTACTTTACTATCAACCCTTTGTTTTTGCTCTCTCTGTATTTCTGAGTTTCTTCTTGTTTGCTTTTTTTTCCCCCCCTGCAATCTTATGGGTTATGCATGTGAGGTGATGGAGATGGGGAGTTAGGGGGTTGCTTATATAACATGGAAGGTTGACTATGACACTAATAATAAGTGTTATATTATGTGTATGACTTTGCAGGGAAATTGATGGAGGTAGCCTGCAGAGTGATTGGCTCTTATTTCACCCCTTCTTCCTGTCAATGAACATACAACTTCTTTTTTTCTTTTTATTTTCATTTATTTTTATTCTCTTTCTCTTTTCCAAAAAAGAAACCCCAAAAAAAAAACAGCAAAATACAACTGGGGAGCCATTGGAGGAGATAGAGAAACTGGTAAGTTGTGGAGAAACTTGGATATGGGTTGTGTATTTGTTGATGTTTGGAGGGTAATTGAGTAATTTGGGTGACCTGATTGTCTTCTTCTTCTTCTTCAAATGGCATGGCAGGTAGCAAAGACTTTTGTGTAGAAGGAGGAAAAGGAAACATGAAATGATAATAAAGAAGGGGAAGGGCTGATGTGGGCATCCAAGCCATCATCTAGCATAGAAGGAAGGAAGGTCTCTCTTCCCTGCTTATTATTAGGATCCATATAAATATATATTATATATATATGAATGAAGCGAGCAAGGGAGAGGGGTTTTGAGTGCTTGTTTTTTGTTCATCATAATGAAGAAAGATTAAGGGAAAAAAGGAGGGTGAAATTTACTGTAATTAAATGTTCATGTGATCATTTCAATTTATTCTTTCTTGTTTCTCAATTTTAGAGTTGCAACTTTTGAGTAGTGTGATCAATCCCAGCATTCATTTTCAGATTGGTTACTGTGTTTGCAGTGGCAGACCCAGGAAATTTACATAGGGGTGTGTGTTTGCAGTGGCAGACCCAGGAAATTTACATAGGGGTGTCATCTTTCAAAAAATAAAGTAAAATAAAAATTAAATAATTAATAATTAATAAAAATTATATTATTATTTAGTAAGAAAATACCCAACTCGTACAAGTTAAAAAAAAGTCAATAATGTATTTTCATATTCTAAACAAATTATAAAAAATACTTGGTGTATACACTGCTCAACAAATTTGTCTCGGTATATCCTACTAGACGATCATCACGAGCTTACGCATATTTGAATTCTAAATTTGTTCATGATGTAACTCAAAGCTGAAAAAACACTTTCAACACGTGTCGTACAACCATAAGATCAATACAAATTAAGGGTAACTTGTAATTAGATTAATTGTTAGGTTTTGAAAATAATGAAAGATAGAGAATAGAGTTTTGCTATTACACAGTGTTTAGAATATATCAACAAAAAAGTTGTAGCCTAATGGAAATTATATTTATTAGTAATAGTAGTGTCCCGGGTTTGAATTACCCAAACTACCACTTATATTCTCATACGCAAACTACAAACGAGAAAAGTATAATCGTTTTCAAATTTTAGAGTGTCCTAGACTATTAGTTATAATTTTTTTGTCTATACGTAAATTAATACCGAGGGTTGGATAATCGATCTTCCAAAATTTAGGGGTGTCTGCCCCTGGGTCCGCCCCTGTGTGTCTGTAATGTCTGGGGTAAAAAAGGCGAGAGTTACTGTTTACCCAGCCTAGCCAGCCAGTTGGGAAGGAAAGTGTCTCCCCCTCCCCTCGCTCTCTCCCACCAATTTGTTTGGTTGTCCTGTCCGTGTCCGGTCTCTCACGGGTTCTGTCTTTATTTTGTTTGTCTTTAATTCTTGTATTTTCTTTTCAATTTATTTTGTGCAACGCAATTACGCAAACCATACAATATATACATGAATTTAATATGTATATATATTCCTATTGGGAATCTGCGAGATTGTCGGTGAGCAGTGTGGTGGAGCACACACATTTATGCTACCTATTATATTATCAAATCAATTATGCAAAATGCTCTTTTCATGAAAGATGATAATAATAAGCAGAATAAAAAATAGAGAAAGGGAAGGTGGCGGGTGGTAGTTGTACAGTAACACACTTGCTTTGCTTGCATTACAAAGAGATGAACCCCTTGTTTCTTTGCCAGGGAAAATTAGAGAAAGGAAAGGAAAAGGAGGGAATTGTGGGTTCCAATAAAATTTTCCCCGTTTCTGAAATGTTCTACAGTACAGAGGTGAGGGAAAGTGGAGGGGCCGCGTACTGTGCTAGCCTCACCCCCAAATCGGAGGGAAAATAATGAGTTCCCTTGTCTTTTTTGTTTGTTTGTACCAATCTCTCTTTTCTTTCTTTCTTTCTTTCTTCTCTCTTTTATCTTTGTAGCCCGTAGGAATTGGAAAGCTCAATTTTAATAATAATAATAATAATAATAAATTGGCAAGGAAAGGCAGAGGAAAAGAGATTTGTGATTAAGAAGTGATTCTAAGATATTTATTGTTTTATTAAAATAGGAAAAGGAATCATACAAAATGAAAAGAAGACGGCGGAGGGTTTTAGATAATGATAGAAGTCATTACAATTTGTTATCCATTTTAGCTGAATAATTGGGATTACTCCTCATTATTAAAATAATGGTTTGCTAACTTATATATCATAGTGAATTAGTACGAAAATCACGAATCAATATAACGATATAACGGAATTTTAGTTTGAATTCAAATTGATGATTTTTTATAGAAGTAACGTTCAACCATTAGATCTAACCGTCGACATATTTCCGTACTATTCTACTTTTGATTTTTAATAGTGACCAAAATTAGTAAGAAAGTAAAAATTTAATCTACAATTCATAACCAATGATCAAATTATTTTCGTTATGACATGATAGTTCAATGGTATTTTATGTAGACATGTTTCATACGACAAATTTGATAAACTTGAAATTTATAGCAAGAATGCAAGATGTTTATCTACTTATTGGATATTTAGACCGGATCGAACCGAACCAAATGGGTGATTTACGTCATATATAGTGTTGTCTTACACGATACATAAAATAGTTACGTTAGATATAAGAGTTTGTTACATTCATAGTAAAAACGATATAAGAGGGGAATTTTTACAAAATGGATGTCATTTTGTACAGTAGAGCTAATCCAATTTATATGAGAATTTTTTTAAATTGACGGGCTCACATGAGTCACACAAAATATTATTTTACACAATTACGTGGAACGTAAATGTGTGGTAAGTTTCAAGTAAAACGACATCAGAGTGATACATTTTTTATAGAATGAACGTCATCTTGTACTACAAAGGTTATCAAAATTTGTATGAAAAAATAAAATTAAGTTAAATGAACAATTTATGTTCCGTTAACAAATAATAAAAATGATAATGGTTATGTAGAAATTGGTTATTCATAATATTCATTTTCGCATTTTTTACACATACTTACTATTACATAATCAATAAAATAACATATCTATCACACTTTCTTATATACTTTTTCCCTCCCACTATCTCTTTCACTTTCCCCCGTAAAACAACATTTTCTCTCCAATTCTCTTCTCTTCCAATTTTCCTTCCCCTCCAAATTCTCCCTCCCCTCCTCTCCTTTTCCTCCCCTACTTCAGAAACAGGGGGGAAGAGAAGGATTGGGACATCACAACCATCATTGTTTTTTGTTGCCTAATGTAATGTAATGACCACAATGATGATACGTCAATATAATCTAGACGCATGGAAAATAATTATAATTGTTATATTAACAGTAGCCGAGTAAAATAGAAATGAGAGCCCAGTCATTGTCAATCAATAATTACGGGCCTATTATACTTTTTTTGCAGCAAAAAGTGCTGATTACGTCACGTGTGTATTTTTGTCACTCCCAACAAAATAGTTTATCAAATATGTTTGGGCAAACATAACACTATGTTTGGCAACAAGGGGGTGCAAGTTCGAGAGGGGTACAAGTTGAGGGGTAAATTGTTGGGGGGTGCAACTTGGTGGAGGGTGTAAGTGGAGGGGTAAATTGTTGTTTGGATGAAAAAGTAGGGGGTGCAAATAGAGTAAAAAGTAGGTAATTATATTATTATAAAATAGATTTATCAATTTATAAAATATTATCACAAAATAATAACATGAAAATTCAATATATAATAATAAAAATAATAAATAAAAATAATTTTCATAAAAATAATTATTATATAATAATGCTCAAATATAATTATTTATAACAACAATAATAATCATTGGTCGAGCAACCTCGAAACTCGAAATCCAACTCGTAAGTGGTCATTCTAAGGGGGTTCTCGTGCCTAACTTTAAATTGAATATGGTCAAACTTAGTCAAACACGTTCGAATCTGTAAGTTTTAACTACTTATTAAAGTAAATCGAGTTAACTAAACTGTTCCTCTCTATCTTTTCAACAAATGCTTCTTATCTCTAATTTTCAATGCAAATTCGGGTCAACTAAGAGATATCGATTTGACGAGGCGAACATTGACAAACTTGCTCTCTTAGTCAAACGGTCAACCCCAAACAACTTCTACACTAATATAGATATAAGAAAAAATTAATAATATTAATTATTATGTAATTATAATCTAATTAAAAATTCATAATTCCCCTCCTCCTCCTTCCCCCGGGATTTTTCCAGAAATAGCATTTTTAAAAAAAAAAATTCCAAAAATAGCACCCAACTCCGAAAAATTCCAAAAATAGCACCCTTTCTTCCTTTCCTTGCACCCCAATTTGGGGGGTAAGCCGAAACAGTGAATTTACGCTCACGTTTTGCACCCCCCTACTGTTACAAAATAACCAAACGGGGGTAAACACCTTGGAACTTGTGTTTACCCCTCCAAACTTGCACCCCCTTCCATTTGCACCCCTTCCCAAACATAGTGTAAAGGTGTACCTTTCTACCTACCGATAACAACAATACAATGGGAGCGGACTGCCCTTTCGTTGCAACTTCAAGCGGTTGGAACTTGGAAATTGGGACTTTAGGAAGAAGAGTCTATCTACCTATGAAAAAGAATATTTAACTGTGATTTTGGCGGTAACAAAGTGGCGCCACTATTTGGAAGGACGACAATTCAAGATAGTGACAGATCATGAAAGCTTGAAACACCTCTTGGGACAAAAAATTCACGCACAAATCCAGAAAAAAAGGTTTAGTTAAGTTGTTGGGATTTGATTTTGAAATCCAATATCGACAAAGGGAAGTTTAACCAAATTGCTGATGCCTTGTCGAGACATCCTAGTCTTGCTTCTCAATTATCTAGTCACTGTCAAGATATTACTGCAGTGCTGCCTACATGGCTAGCTGAGCTGGAAGCAACTTATGAAGGGGATCAGTTGGTTCAATCGTTGATTGCTGAATCTTGTGTGCCTATTATTGGTCCAAAGCACTACAATTTCCAGCAAGGGTTATTATATCATAAATCAACTATATTTGTAGGGGCAGCTGGTCACTAACAAGCCCCATTGTGTGGTTAACTATTATAATTATTTTTAATGATTGAGCCGGAGGAGATAAGATAAGATAAAAAAAAACCCATGCTTAATAAGTTGACTACTAGTATTTTAGGCCATTGAAAAATTCTCGCAACAAAGCAAGGAAGAATGGGGCAAGCATATATAACATAGTGATTCAGAGATACAAGTAGAAGAAGTGAACCCTACCATTAGTCCATTACCGCCGACGCCGAGGGTTGGGCCGTGGGGGCAAAGCCGGCCGGGTTGCTAGCCACTTGACCATTTTCATGTTGTGGTGACAGCTACACAGACAGATGATGCACAACCTGCTCACAGCTTGCAGCTAATTAACACATCTGTCACCAAATTGGAATAATGAATGATGCCAGAAATTAATTCCCCCTTTGACCTGTCTTTCTATTTTCTAATCATACAATTTGGAAACACTTTACTTACCAGTAGGTCAAACCCTCAATCGGAGAATCCGTATTAGATGTACATCATTGAAGATAACGGTAGATCGTAAGAACGAAGAAATAAAAAGAGGCAGCATTTAGGA